TATCCAGGAGATGATCCACATTAAAAGAGTCCATTCTTGATAGTTCTGCACCTGGAACTCTCCTCACTCCTGTGCTCTTGTGGAAAACTCTACAAATAACCCATTCCTCCTGTCGAAAAAAAAGGTAAAATTAGTAACAATATGTTACAATAAACAAGATTTTAGCTTCTTCTTTTTTCGTAGTATCCAATATTGTTCAATATATGTTACTGAGTACTCGGGCAAGAGAAAAGGTGAATTAATTATAAATTATTATATGTGTACCTTTGCAGCCCTAGAAAAGTTGTAAGAGAAATTGCCTTCAAGTCGATATTCATGCATAACCCAATTGGATTTCTCTCCTTTAGGAGCTCTCCCTTTATAGAAAACAAGGGTCTTCTTCATCCCAACGAGACGGTTCCTTCCCTGCTTGTAGTATATTTCCTTATCCTTTCCAGTTGCCTTCCAGTATCCGGATTCTGTTGCTCGATTTGTTCGCATTCCTGTTGGATATTTTCTATCTCTCTGGCAAAAAAAGTACCATTCTTTTTCCCCCATCTTCGCCTTCTCTGCATAATTAATATTTGCGAGGATTAAGACCTTATCGATATTGAAATATCTGCAAAATCGACTCTGTGAATCCTTTTTTGCCGGTGACTTGTTAATCTTTTCAAGAAAACTTAATAAATGATATAAATGGTCATGTATAGTGCTTAATGTCAACACATGCAATTTATTTGCTTTCTTTTCCTATCTGATCTTTGAGCAAGTAAATTAAGAAACAAATTAAATAAAGTGGATAACTAAAAATTGCTTATATGCTTCTTATTCTGTGTTGGGACGAACAAAACGGAATAGCTATGAAAGATTTATGTAGCCGATCTCAAGTTCATTAAAAACAAAGCTTCGATCTCAAGTTCATTTACAACCAGCTAAAAAAAATCTCTTAAGAAGAGAAGAAACTTGTTCATTAAGCAAAAAGAGAAAGAAAGACAGCTTACTCGGTAAATCCCAGGGTTCACACTTATTCAGATCAGCTTCTCCAATAGCTCTTGCTGCAAATCGCCTGTCCATAACCTTCTTGATAAGATAATGAATAATAATCTCCTCATCCGTAGGATGGAATCGGAAACCCGGAGGCAAGTCCATAACATCATCTTCTTCGTTTACAACAGATGAAGGTCCTCCTTCCATTTTTGCTTAAACTAAACAAAACGAAACACCTAGCTCTCTCTATATGTAACCTGAAAATATTAACAAGAAAATTATCCAGAAGAAATTCTGGAAAGCGATTTCAGAAGGAACCTGATTGGGTTGTAAAAGGCAAATGAGAAAGATGAATAATTGGGAAAATGAGAAGATATATAGAAAAATAGGAGGTGGGATGGTTGGGGGTTGACAGTTCCTTGCGGTGGAAGGAAATTACACGGAAAGGCTGGAGGGAATGGAATTATTTGCTAATAAGGTACGATTTCGTTAAGAGTTTTATTAACATATTAAACAATGGGGAAGAAAATTGTGCTGGAAGATTAAGTACAAGAGGAGGCAAAATTTTGTTGGCATTTGGCCGGTTCAAGAAAACACACCAGTTGTTATATGTCAACTCAATCCCATTTGATTTTATTAAAAATTAGATTTTTAATGAATTATGATGAAAGTTGATAAAATAAATGATTGAAAATTTGATAAAAATCGTAGTTCTCTTAAAAATAATAGCCGTTATTTGATTTTCATTATTTTTCAAATACATTTTTCTCTCTCTTATTTTTAATCACACATTTTCTATCAATTTACTATTTCAAAATGCATTAGCAAAAATGAGGTTCAAATAGGTATGATTGAAAATAATTTATTTTAAAATGGGGACCAAACATGGGCTCACTTTGATTGGATATTTTTTCGGTCTTGTTTGATCCACATTCTTCTCAAAATTCATTGTTTCAAAACTCATTTTCAACCACAAATTCTTCAATAAAATAATATTACCCGCAAATCTAAAATTTTTCCTTATTTTTAAACCACATATTTTCCATCACATCACATAATAAAATGCATTCTTTTTTCAATGCACCAAACACCACTCCCCCCGCCCCTCTCCCTAGTATTTTCTAGGCTGGACATAGGGATGGCAACGGGGCGGGGACGGGGATGCCCTCCCCGTCCCCCGCCCCGTTAAGAAATTCATTCCCCGTCCTCGCCCCGTTCCCCGTTTAAGGCGGGG